CTGCCTTACCATTCAGCTTTTAAAGTGCCTAGACATGGATTGTTGCAGGCACAGCTTGAAAAGCCCAGCACATACCTAGGCGGAGGAGGGGGTGGGCCAGTTCCTCCAGCTCCTGGAAACTCTTTCCGCCACTTGAGGTGTGAAAGAGATTTCTGTTCAATAATACCAAGCACTTGTCTAGCATTTCACATCTGCTTTGCCCAGCCAGCATTCACCACAATGCTCCTGTGAGCCAAACAAGTCATTTTTGCTGCCACCTCCTGCTGCTGGAGGAAGAGAGATGCACAGACCACCTCTGCGCTGTTTTTGGACGGCCCTTTCAGTTCCTTCTGCCTGCCCCACTCCCAGCTTCCTCTGCAGGCTTTTTTAATCGTTCCACGGGCTAACCCTATACACAGAGGATTTTAATTATACTGTAGAGGGACAAGAAGATACCCTTGTCTGGTCCACACAAGCACTTCCTGCAGTATTACCTCCCTCCTTTACCTGCAGCAATGCTAGGTGGAGAAAATGTGTAAGGCTTCAGTATTGAGAAGGCCTTGGACCCATCACAACCTCAGAGGCCAATGGAAGAGGTAAAATGTGAGAATCTCTTGTCCCCACTTGAGATCATGGTCCAATTTAAAGAATCCCTGTCCTATCAATTAGACAGCTTGCTCTGAGCCAGCCAAACGCCAGCCTCAAGTGAGTGGTTTTCTGCCAGTGATTAATAGGTAAACCTACTAGTCACTACGTGCCATACAAGATGCAGGTCTCACTCAAAAACAATTTGTTAGCACCTAGAAAGCTTTGGCCTTGCATCAAGTTCCATGATGGTACATAATTCTGCATGGGTGCATATAACCCAAGACTCTCCCTCTGCCTGAAGAAGGGCGTTTGTACCCAAAAGCTTGCAAAGAAGAACTTTTTTTCCAACTATTTTAGTGGGTCTAATAAAAGATACCAGATTTACCCAAAGAACCTTGTCTGCCTATAACCTGCTACAAAGCATCTAGGCCCTGACTCAGGATACACTTATTCCCAAGCTTAGCTTTAATATTCCTTTGAAGTCAATGCAATTCCTCATGAGAGTAAAATTAAGCCCATGCTTAAGAGTTTGCAGGATTGGTGGCTGAAATAGAAGGACACAGGCAGGAACACTGTGGGATTTAACTAGGGAACTTCATCACATCAGGAACAGGCAGTGCCGAGAGAAATGGATGCGTGTTGTCAGCCCTCACAGTAGTTTGCCCAGTCCTGACTCAATTTTACTCCTTTTGTCTGCGAACCGATTACTCAGTCTCCTTTATTTACACTTGGGTAACACTTGAATAGCTTGTCATGCTAAGGAAGTTGAATTGGATTGATTTCTATGGGGGGCAGCAATGTAAAATACTTCACATTTTTCCCTAGCTCTCTTTCTTTTTTGATTTCCAGTGGCTAATGTAAAAGGCACAACAACCAATCCACACCTGAAGCTCCTTTTGAATACCATCCCACCACTTGGTGAACAAGTTCTCCATAACAAGTGTTCATTGAGTGCTAATATATTTAAATTCCTCCTGATGAAAGCAATTAGGGGGAGGAAATGCTTCTCAGTCTGAATCAAAATTCTTCCCTTGCAAGCAAGAGTTGGAGTGTATTACCTGTGAATGGAAGGGAGGCAAGGAAATAGTAGCTTGATCACCTGTTAGCATAGAAGTTGGTATGAAAGGTCACATTCTGTGCTTGGACAGATCTGCTAGCCTCCTGCTTGCTTTAATAGGGGCGCATTGTGCTTATCTCAGAGCAGACTTTTGCCTGCAAGGCATTGATTTAAGGGCAGCTTTGTACATCCAAGAACCTGCTGGACAGAGCTAGGATGGAAACAGAAGTGGGGAAGCACAAAGGTAGGATATAGCTTAAAGAAACAGAGTTTGTTTGTTGAGGGAAGACTGGAATAAATGATGAGAGATTTTTTGTTTTGTTTTTTTTCAAGCAATTAATGCTTCCTTAAGTGAAGGAGATGAAGTTTATTCTTGAACACCATTTTTGTATCCAGTCAGTTCCCACAACAGGAAGGTCAGGAGAAGGAGACTGAAAGGGAATAAATAAATAAAAACAACAGTAACCAGTGATTAGGAGTGGGTTTAATGCCTGCAAACTACTTCTTAACTTCAGCTACATTGATCACATCTCTAGCAAACTAATTCAACAGGCCCTTTTGGGGAAGGGGAAGAGACATGCTATGCTCTCTGAAAGGAGTGTGTGCAGGAAGCTTAAAGCTTGCAAATTTTAAAGGCTTGAGAGATGGCTGACAGCTACCAGCTCATTTCTTAACACTTTTTAGTTACTAGTCTTGTAGACGAGACTGTATCGCTAATGTAGTTCTGAGAAGAATGAGCACAGCTAACTGTTCGCAATAATCATTCCCAGGAAGAGCCTCCTGCTCTGCCAGTCTTCTCAAGTTTCTTTTTGTTTCTATAAGGTCACCATTGAATCGGTCACGTCCATGGCTGTACACCTTCCCCTGCAGTTTTAAAGCCTTTAACGCAACGACACTGGCTGCTGTATTATTAGAAGCCTGGTCTGCAAACACTGTTTTGCTTGACTCGGAGAGAGTACTAGAAATATCCCTCTGGTTGTACTCAAGATTACTATGAAGGGACCAGATTTTTCAGGGATTTTTAGACACCTAAAAGGATTGATGCTTCTGAAAACTGAAATGAGCTCCTAGCTGCATCCCTTGGTATCTAAAAAACATGTATAACAATGGCTTTTGGGTCTCAGGGAAAGACTTCTTTGGGTTTGGGATTCCAGACAGCATCTCGCACAAGATGCGAACGGCCTACTCTGCCCGCATTTGAGAAATAGCACGAACCACAAAGCAGCATGTAAAAGTCATACCAGCTGGAACCAACAGATTTGAACAAAACAGCACCTGAAAGAGAGGCCACTCCAAGTTCAACTTACTGGAAAAGCAAAATGCAAAATTTCCTACCTCATTTGATAAGTCTGGCAAAGAACAGGATGGAGCAATTAACCTAAGTCCTTGAGTTTAGCTGGAAAACCCCTTCCACCGGCTCTGCTCTCTATTGTCAGTCGGAGCTTTTATAAGGACTTGACTTTTGGCTGTGTCAGATGGTCATAACAACCTGCTTTGATTTGAAACAACCCATTTTTAAAGAGTACAAGCCTAATATATCCCCCACTCATACTTGGGCATTGAGAATCCTGGTGGTCAAGTCTGATTTATCCCACTGTGTAGTAAGTATTTGTATATTTGGGTTTTGTCTGTGATATTTAATAGCTTCAGTAACTAAGCCATATTCACAGCTTCAGCAGAGGCTACAGCAAATCTCTCTCTCCCTATTCCACAAAGCTGAAGCCTATCGAGACGCATAGTAGTCTGACTAATTCATCAGGACAGCTAAACTGGCTTCAATTAGCATACTGCTTCATTAACGGTGCTGGTGGGGAGCCCTACTGACCTTTATTACAGTAATCTGTGTGCAGGGAGTTCATGCCAGGATTGGGATCTAAGACGATGACCTCTTACTAGGAATCTGCAGATTATTTAAACTAAAGCCACGCTTAGTTTCCTGTTAAATAAAACTTCTTCCTGTGCACAGGGAAATCTATATTTAAAAACCTGTCAGCATGTGGTGAGCTTGTTCAGAACGGTTATAATAACCACATTATTGAAAGAGGATGAAGACTGCTTCCTAAAATAATCTGTTACGCGGAAGAAATTGCTTTCCCTCACTGACAACGGCTTGTGCATGATGTAAAGGTATCATTATAGCGCAGTGCTGGTGTTCAGCTGACTGAACAAGAGACGCACACTTGTTTCATGATGAGAGAGCACGCAGGAAATATTACATGGGACAGTTCCCTGGTATAAAGTCTTGGCTATGCCACTGGAGAGCTGCACAGTGCAAATGAGCGTCTCGGCATCATTGCTCAAACTTGGGACAGGCTTGCTAAGAACAGTAACAATAGCTTGTTCTTTATCAGCTGGAAAGAAATAATGGGACTTAATAATATTGCAAACAACCTATGGCCACTTAGACTGCTCTTCTCACTACGCTGCATGCAGTGGCCACTTGGAACTCCATGGAGGCCAAACTAAGTGCTGAGCTTTCTGCTCCCAAAGCACAAGGTCCTGCCTGCTTTGATATTAAAAGACAGTCCTCACCTGCTAGAAACAATACAGGAACTATGTCACATCAGGGAGTGGTTCTGGGTCTACCCAGCAGAGCTTCCTACTTCATTCTTGCTACTTGTCTAGGTAGCACTCCTTACCTTCAGAGCATTTGGCAAGTTGCAACACACTTGTAAGAGCTCCAGAGATCATCTGCATTTTACAGATGGGGAAACTGAGCCATGTGGGTGACATGCTTGGCCTCAAGTGAGGGATGGAGTCGGTGTTGAAAGAATTGTGATTACAAGGTGGATGTGCTTGCCTCCTTGTCTCATTGTCCTGTAGGGTGGTTTTCTAACAACAATCACTGGAGGCCATATTTTTAAAGATATTTCTGACTAGGCACTTCTGAAAATCCCAAGAGGTGCTCATCTTAGGTACTTTAAATACCTTTAAAAATCCACCCCTGGCATTTTGGTGGCCAGATCTCGGCACTCCGCAGCCCTCACTGACAACAGCTGGACGCTGTTAAATACTGTGCATTCTCAAAAACTGGAGCCTTGAATGCTGAGGCCTTTTAAAAATATAAGCCCTGGCCTGTGTGTATTGAGGCAAACAAGTCATTAACATTACTGACTTGAGTTCCCTTTTTCAGTCTCTAACGGACTTTTGTCCTTCAAAGAGCCTGTAAAGCCTATTCACCAGTGGGTTATGCACACTAACAGGTGTCCATATGTCTACAAAGATTAAATACCTAATTGCGTGTATGCATCCCAAGTGGGTAGTTGTGTTGGCCTCGCTGGTGTATGCTGCTGCATTTTTCTTTCGTCACTGTGAGGGCCACTAGAAATGTACCCCCTTGTGACATATAACAGACTTAAGTAGGCTGTTGCCTTACCAAGGATATGCAGTCTCAGGAAAGGTTTCATAAACACCGCAAAATTCTTCAGTTTCCCCCTGATAATTCTGCCATCCAGGACTGGCATGCTCCATTTGCACGGCTGGGTCTGGTGTCTTTTGCAGCATGTTGTATGAAGGGTTGCTAGCTATATCTCTTTCCTTTACCACATTTTGGCTGTTGCTTGGCAAGGTGGCTGTATTCATGGTAGCTGGTAGGTGGGGAACAGCTTCAAATTCTTCCATCTCTCTTGTTCCTGCAAGGTATGATAGTCAGACAGAAACTAGTAGTGACTTACTGAGACACAGCACGTTCCACAACCAGGGACTCTGGTGAACTTTATAGGCCTTTCTAGGGTCAGCCAAGAGTATTTTATGCATTATCACCTGCAACCTGAGAGTGTTTCTGATGCTTCTGTTGTATCCATGACCAACAAAACCCCCAAGAAGAGCTGTTCAGAAAGTAAGTTTCTGGAGACCCTTAGAAACACCCTGGATACTTGAGTGGTCTGAAATGCCAAGCTCTCCACTAGCTGTGATGCTCCTTGTCGGGATGGCAAGCATTCGCCTTTTTGCAGTAGGGAAAATCCAAGGAGCATTCAGGATGTGATGGAGGCACCAGACATGGCACAGGGACCATGCTATAATAGATGTGTTGAACCACCAGCAGGTACTATCAACAGGGGCCCATGAGCTATCCCTACAAGGGAAGATGTCTGTGGTGTGCAAGTGCCTGGAGATGCTCAGCCTGGCAATGAGTGGCCTCTGGGAGAAGAGGTAAAGTCAGAGGATGGGGTACATGTAGGGTCACCTGGGGAGTGCGCAAGAAGATGAAATTCATGGAAGAGACAGGGGCAGCATGTCTTGTTTGCTTCCCCACTGTATTATACCCACCTTACCTGATGTGAACCAACTTCCTGAAGTACTCTCAGTCCTCTTGGGTATTTCCTACTGTAAGCAAGAATCCACCAATGTTTGTCCTTATTAAATAAGGCAAGCTTGTGGCTGCTTCCCTTGTTTCTAGAGCTGGACTAAGTCTAAACAAACATTTGGGGCTCCCCTTGGTATTTATGACAGTCTGGCATTGAGTGGAGATAGGACCCTCGAGCGGTTTCACCTCCTTGTGACCCGAATGAGTGTACTTACCTTGGGAAACGAAAAGACATGCACTGGATGCCACAGCTCCAAATTCGTTTTCTGCCACACATTGAAATATCCCAGAATCTTCCGGGAAGGCTTCGGTAATAACCAAAGTGCAAACTTCCTCTGAAATGACAGAGAGGTGAATATGATCGATACTGGGCAGGACCCTCAGCCAAATGGTGCCCCACAAGAGGTAAAGGAGAAATTCTTCCGTCCCTTTGAATCACCACCCCTTTGAAGGGTGGATCATGTGCTAAGTGTTTTTAGCTAGGGTTAAGCACAGTGGACGCCCAGGTCAGACCCCACTTCCTCCCACATTGGTGGTGTGCACCCGGAGGCTTGTGTAGTGTTCTGAAAGCTGCTTATGGAAAAGCAGCCCACACTGAAAAATAATGCAAATGAAAGAAATGGTCATCCCAGCCCAGTGCTCGTGCATCTTCTGCCTCTCTGGACCTCAATGACATGTTTGCTCCCTATGCTATGAGATGGGGGCACACCAGAGGAGCCTTGCCTACAGCATGTCCAGTGGAGGGCAATGAAAATGGTTAGGGGGCTGGGGCACATGACTTACAAGAAGAGGCTGAGGGAATTGGGCTTCAGCCTGAAGACATAAAGACTGAGAGGGGATTTCATAGCAGTCTTCACTTACCTGAAGCGGGGCTTCAAAGAGGATGGAGCTGGACTGTTCTCAGTGGTGACAGATGACAGAACAAGGAGCAAGTTGCAGCACGAGACAACATCTCACGTTGCAGCATGGGAAGTTTAGGTTAGACATTAGGAAAAACTTTTTTCACTAGGAGGGTGGTGAAGCACTGGAACAGGTTCCCCAGAGAAGTTGTGAAATCTCCATCCTCAGAGGTTTTTAAGATCCGGCTAGACAAAACTTTGGCTGGGATGATATAATTGTGGATGGTCCTGCTTTGAGCAGGGGGTTGGACTAGATGTGACCTCCTGAGGTCCCTTCCAACGCTAATTGTATCTGATTCTATGTTAATTCTAGTCCTCCACTTACAGAGAAGGATGGGGTGAATTAGGAGATGCTCCTTGTAGAAATGGAAATAGATCTCTGTGACAATAAAGGTTTTATTCTGTGGAGTAGGTTGGCATATAAAACAGTAAGAATACAAAGGATGTGGGGCACAGGGTTGGAACAATTCTTATTGAGGTTGGGCCTGAGGCTAGAGGAAGGTAAGCCTTGCTCCATAGGGCAAGATCAAACCCCCCAAAAGCTCTTAGGACAGTGAGGTTGGCATGTTCACAGCGATGTCTGAACATAGGCTTTGGCCTACGTAGCTGAACCTTAACAAGACAAGACTCTTTGCTCTTAGATACGTTGCACCTCTTAAGTGCTTAGGCTAAAAAAAAAAAGGAGAGAGACTGCGTGTCTTGCTCTTCATGACTTCTGATCAGTTGCTTTTATCTTGGATTATCTGAGAGAACCAGCCTGTTGTAAGCTACCTGACAGAATAGTCAGCAAAAGGTTTCCAATGTACTCACCAGGATCTGTGGACAGGCAGGCCTCTGTTTAAAAGAAGAAAAGGAAAGAGGGGAAAAAAGTGTTTATCACTGCTGTAAAAATGACTTGAGATCAATCAGATGCGTCAGAAAGGCCACAGTCCAGAAGGACTGCTAGTTTAAGTTGAAATGTCATGTTCAAGGACCCTCTTTTATGTTTTATTCAATGCCCCCATGTATCTCGAGAGAGAAATACAGTAACCAGCAGGAGAAATTCATATCTGGATCTGAACTCAGATGTTCAAGTTCCTGTCCAATGCAGTTGATTTTGGCATGATGTCAGCAGGGGGACATCAATGATGTATATGAGCAGTAATCTGGAAATGTGCTAGCTTGTCTGAAATGGGAGTTCATATCATTTTTATTGCTCCTGAATGAATCATAAATGAAAAGATTGACCCATCAGTTATTTAGTTGTGATGTTTTATAATGATTATCGTAATGGGGCCAGAAACTCCTGCAGCATTATTCCTGAAAGGTAGCCCCATTGTTCCTGTTCAGCCCAGTTTGCATACTTGGGTGGGCCTTGCGTGTCATTTCTATTTCTTTAAACTTTTTGGCATATTCAGGTCAAGATCATTCTGTATAAATGACCAGCTGTTTTCTGATCTTGTAATAGCCTTCTATTTTGATTTTGTTATGAATGAAATAACCGTGCATTCAACAAGCATGTTATCAATACCTACTTTTCCTTAATATTCGGAAGTCGGCAGAATCTATGATCTGACTGTAGTCTCTGTACCAGCGAACCTGCAGGGTGGGGCTGGCACGTATGCGACACTCAAATACCACTAATTGCCCATTTGCAGCCATGATGTTTTGTAGCCCCTCAAGAAAGGGGGAAAAAAAGGTGTTAGTGTTTGACATTTTGCTACCTAAACACTTTCTGTAGCAAAGATTTAGTGCTCTACACAGGCACTTATCCACTTCCAATGTGGATAAATTATTTTTTTTTAAGAAAAGCAACTTTGATCTTAAAGATTTGATCTAAATACTAGTTGCTGGGTTAGGAGTGCTATGAAGGACAATATTTTGTGGTGAAAATCTATTGCTTATTGATGCACCTTTAAAAATGCATCAAAGCAAGTGGAGGTGTACCCTGTGCTCCCACGGGGCATGCAAGCTTCTGCCTTCCTTATGCTGAACAAATTATATTAATTTGTGTGAACGAGGATCCTCTGCATCTTACAGCACTGATCCTCCTGTACTGACAGACAGGTGCGGTGTTCACAGGGAGTTTTGTATCATCCCCTCTTCCACACATCTCCCAATCCAGGTACGCAGAAAGTGTACGGTGAGGAAGTTTCTACCTTGGTAAACACTGGTGCAATTCCATGGGTCGAGCCTGTCTGGCTTGTAGCTGGGCTCTGCATCTGTAACCAAGAGGAGCAATGTCATGGGTAGCATTTCTCAGGTTCATAAATGCAACTGGACAGACAGCCCTGTATTTTAAATTAGGAGGTGATTCCTGGTTATTTTTCCTGCTGTTTGTGTGTTAGTCTACCAAATATTTTTGGGATAGACTCCACTTTAGGTGGCCCTTAAGAAAATGTCTCTTTTGGTTGTAAACAGCAACTTATTGGAAGGGAGACTTACAGCCATGAGGGACCTGCTTGGTGCCATGCCTCCCCCTTTTTTAATTCATATGCAAACATCAGTTCTGCCATTGCCTAGGGACAATATCCAGAGGGTCGTATCCTGCCCACAGCCACAAGAGATACTTATTACGGTGTTTTTTTTATTCTGTATTTATCTCTTTTTGAATTTCATAGTTTGATAACTTCAGGTTATATAAATATGTGTGCAATTTTGGTGTCCAGACCTTACAATCACCTTGACATTTAGCTAAAGTAAAAACAGCAAGGACTGAAAGATTGTGGCTCCCTGAGAGTTTTAATGGAACAAGGATGGTGGGATTGGGCCCTGCTGCATTTCTAGCCCACATTGTAAAAGGCAATGAAAGAAGAATAAATGTGAAGGAAGCATGGGGGTGATGTCTCTTGAATAGTGTCTGTTCCTCATCTATCTCTCTTCTCTGGGAAATGAGTCTGGATGCTGAATGACTTATGTGCTAATGTACAGTTGAAATGCCTGTCCCATACCATCCTAGCAGTCTATATAATTTTTTCTTATCCATCCTTTCCTCCCTTCCCCCACTAAGTTCAAAGGGAATTCAATCCTTTGGATATATTGAATTCCCCAACTCTAGACCAAGTAGCTTTCCCTAAGCAACTGTCCTTGCTGAAATGTGCCTTTTGAGGAGCACAACAAATGGCTAAGCTATGTGGCAGCCACTCGGCTATTTCTAACACCCTTCTCTCCCCCCTCCCCAACCATTTATTTAGGTTCCCTTTAGGAAATGCAGCTGGTAAATGTTCTAAGTCAGGAAAACACATACAGAAAACCCTCCTTTTGGACCCAGATCTTGATGCCCATGAAGCCTTGTTGCCATTTGGTTACTGGCTTCAGTGAACTCAAGAGCTGGTCTCGATAGATTGCTTTAAGAGGATTGTGAGCAATAAAAAAAAAGTTTAACCTACTCTTTGAGGGTCAAGCGATAATGGCTGAATTAAAGTAGAGTAACTCTGACGAGGTATATTGTTGCTGGAGACGTCATGGACAGGGGACCCAATGGTCAGTGAAACACTGGTGGCTTTCCGCTTTGTCCTGGGGGAAAAAAGTCAATATGAGTACATGGGGACAGGAACTGTTGAGGGCTGACCATGCTGGACTCTGATCTCCTCACTTACTGTGACATTCCTTTATCTCTGCCAGGATACAGACTTGCAGGGAAGCACGCCTTCTGGTCACGCTATAAACCTACAGGAAACAAACATAAATCAGCTGTATTTTGAGCCAACTTCAGTGTAGTAAATCCTGGCAAATGAAGGGTACATTGATTGGAAGGTAAGCAGTGTGTAACTGAGTGTAAGGCCGTGTGCTAGCAGCAGTATCCTATATGGGAGTGAGCGAAATTGCACAACTTCCACTGTGTTTCCAGGCTTGGAGGGTTGTGGATCTAGATATTTTTTATATGGTCCTATTTAAAACAGGCATTGCACCAGTTTTTTTCAATATTCTACTCTAAGGGCAGACACAGACATAACATTCCTCCACCAACATCAGGAGGAAAGAGCGTGACCTGTGTGTCAGCACGGAGAGGATGGAAACTGGAAGTATCAAAGCCCCTTTCAAATAGGGAAGAGCCAAAACTGCCTTCCATTCGGCTTTGACGGTAGTAATGCGTTTCTGCCTCATGGAATCAAGTCATTTAAAGAAAGCCCCGGGATTATGTCCCCTGTCTGATGACGAGTGACACTGGAATACAGGTGTCTGCAGCCCGCCAGGGCTACCACTGTAATTAAACCCCCACTCTCCTAACTGAATAGGATTTGCACTGTGGGGATGTTCACAGACCCTGAAGTAAAAAGCATGTCACAGTAGCATGGTTGCTACTTTAAAGCATTGCTCAGGGCTTTATAAACCTTTATTAGATCATGTAGGCAAAAGCCTGAGGCAAAGGCTCATAGCATCCATCATGGGGTTGGATGGACATTGTGAGCCTGATTCCAGGCTACTTGTGCTTTGTGTGGTCATTTGGGCTTTAGTCCTATGTTTGGGCTTGTTCTGAACAGATTACAAGTAGTCCCAGTGATGTAGAAACCTAGCACACAAGTCCTTGCTCTCTTTGGTCACATGTGACACAGGAATGAATGGCCCAGTCTCTCCGTTCAGCCTTATAGGCTGAGACTGCCACTACGGGCCAGTGACAAGATGCAGAGGTGCCTAGGGGGACATGCAAAAGTTCCCATGCAGGTTAGGTGCCTAACACCCATCGGCCCTGACTCGTGCCTCCAGTAAAATCATGGTCACCTGGGAGCTCTTGTGCCTGGCACATTGGTAGGGACCACCCTAATTAATCTAGTTATACCAGTCTATTAGAGCTGTCCTTTCTCTAGGCTGCTTATTTGTCTTTCCATCTAAAATTAAAGCTGTAACTGGATTTCAGTAAAGAAACATTTTTCTTTCAGTTCATTGCAGCACAGAAAGAACTTGCAGGGAGCTACAGGCTACTTCAGGGCGGGCAGCCGACTCCTGTGAGAGACCGAGTCACCCTGCTCCGGACGGCTGAGGGGAAGACATAGGCTCAGAGCATGTACAACTGGTACTTCCAGGGCTGTGCTCCATTCAGATCCCGCAGTGTACTGAGCACTCTGGCTGTGACCCAACAGAGCACTTCAGCACATACTGTGACACATGGTAAGCACTGTACAGACTGCCTGTTCTGTGGTTTAAGTAAGGTCAAACTCCTGCCAGAAATGGAGCGGTAGCATGCCATGGTCTCCCTAGTTCCACAGGAGCAACAGGACAAGGTGGCTTTTCCTCTCCCTGCAATAACTATTCACCAGGTAAATCTCTGTCCTTCTTGATAATCCAGAATGAATCTGGGGTTTAAAGCAGCTGAAGATGGAGTACATCTTTCTAGGTGCCTCCACCTCCCAGTGAACACCAGCTAATAAAAGATAGCCTGCCATCCCCCCCACTCCATGGCTTAAGTATAGCAAAAGGCACCTTTATAGTGTGGACATGTAGAATCCTTTAGCTGTTCATCTCTTCACCTCCAGGCCTGCTGACCTACCTACAACACTACTGTGGAAGAACACTAAATGCCCAGGTGCAGCCTCACATGAATAAGTGAGGGTAACAGAAGAGCAGGCCTGTGGCAGGCCAGCCTTTGGCAAGGTGACCAAATGGATGACTCACTTCTCTTCTGAAATTTGGAGTGAGACCCTTTGGATCTCAGTGTGTGAGCTCTGCCCACTGAGCTAAAAGAAAAGTGTGGTCAGGGTAGTATCCCTCATAGCTTCTGTCAAGCTTTCAGCCGCAGTGGAATAGACCCTCTATCTTTAGTCCTGGACTGGAAGGGCGTGTGCAGCTCACTCATACTCCAAGTGAATGCAGCTTCTGCTTACATTAGGTATCTTCATTCATAGGGCTCTGATTCCTAAACCACTGCAAATCCCTCAAGTTGCTTCAGCAGTACTGTAGGTTCACCCCAGATCCACTTATCTCAGGAGGTTTCATTGCCAATTCTGTGAAGCAAAGTTCATCTCTGCTCCCTCTGCTTTGATCCATTGCCTGTTCATGTTAGAAATGTGTAAGGTAAAGATACTTGGAGAAGATAACAGCTAAATTATCAGATGCTTGATATTAAGTACTCAAAGCAACCTGTTTTTAATGTGGCCTGAAGGGCGGAGCACTGGGCTGGGACCCAGGACACTTGCGGGGGGAGAGGGAGGGTTCTACTTCTGACTCTGCCACTGACCTGTTAATTGAGCTTGGTCAATTCACCTACCCTCTCTCTCCTTCAAGTTCCTCAACAGCAAAATGGCAAAAATGATACTGACTGCCTTGGTAAAAGCACTTTGATATCTAGTGCGGAGAAGCACAGATTTAGATCAGAGCTGGGCATAATTATTCCTTCTTAATCAGAGGTGCAGAACACTCACAGCCCCCAGTGAAGTCAGGCTGCAAGCATCTTCCTTTGCATCTGAAAGTCAGGCCACAAATAGTCCCAAATCCAGCAAGCATCACTCTCCAGATCTGCATTTAAACACGTTAGAAGAAGGTGCCTACGTGCTTTCTGAAGGTGCCAAAGTGCTTTCTGTTTTCACTGATTCACAACCTAATTATGGATTTGGGTGCTAAAATTGTGGCCAACATTTGAAACAAGCCTTTATGTCTTGAAAGCACTGGACAAGTTCTGCCTAGTTTCAGCAGGTGCAATGGAGGAGGGTGATTTTGGCTGGGCGAGAATGCTGCCAGCATCTCTGTGCTAGTGTTTAGGTGTGGATCTTGCTCGTCTTGGGAAATTTCTAGGAAAGGAGTTTTCTCAGGTTTGCTGCTGTCCACAGAAGTCCTTGCTGATGCTTGGAATTTTTCAGGAATGTAAAATGGCCTCTTGCTGTTGATTTTGAAGGTCCAGCCAGGCCATTTGATGGAAAGCCCTCTCCCAAAGAGAGATCTGCTTTCTTTGTGGAACACAGCAGGCAGCACGGTGTGTGCACTATGAATATTGCACTATACCCAGCTTTGCTACCACCGTAATGTTGAACCTCTCTGCCAGTCACTGTGACTCCATATCATTGCTGACAAATCCCATGTGAAGTTTTTGTTTTGTTTTGTTTTTCAGCAAAGCCACTGTTGTTTGAGCATTCACAGACTCTTTCTGTCATATATCAAAAAGGCCTGAATCAAACTTTGTCAAACTTAGAGGCAAAAGCAAAGGAGGGGGAGGATCCATCAGGTGCTACAATCAAGCTGGAAGGTGGCTTTTTCCTGCCTACCTCCAACCGTGAAACTCCCAAGTGACCGAAAGCAGAAGGTTAAAAAAAGAAATATCCTGGGAACCTTTTTTCCCTGGAAGACAGCTTTGTGGTATCACAGAGCTAGAAGTGCTCATGTACTTTGGAGGAACCAGGTGGGTGCTACTCTGTGGTCACTTGTGTATTGCTGGCCATCAGGCATCTTTCATGAAGAATTAGCGGAACGAGTAGCATTGTATAGCTTCCCTCCTTGAAAGAATAAGTAGTAGAGGCTTTTTTTTTTTTACCTTAGTGAGTCATTTTAGTGACCTCAGCTTTCCACGTAAATGGCAACCTTTACTTAGTGTAACCCTAGCTCTTTATGAAGGGGACAGAATTAGACCCTGCCAAATGAAGAGTCAAGGACCTTTGCAACCCAACACCAGAATGATTACAAGGTACATTCAGATCATGGTGTCGACACAAACAATAATGACGACATTCTAGCATTGCTGGAATGGCTGACATGTCTGTAGATTTATGCTATATCTAATACTAGGACAAATATAATGCGGGGGGTTTAGGAAAATATTAAAGCTGCATGGAGCACTTTGCCAGAGGTTTGAAATGTGGAAAGTGCTTTAAATCTGTTTTAGGAACAACCTGAACATCAGACAGACAGATCTGAAATAAGCTGCATTATAAAAAGTGAGAGGGGTAAAACAAAAAAAAAAGAAGTACCACTTAAACCTCCAGTTAGAGGTAAGACAGGTTTCAGTGTGCATGATAATATCAATGTATGTCTTTTGCTTATAGCTCATACCCTGAGTTAAGCTGGTGTATAACCTTCCATTAACTTTGGACGCAAAGCATTTTGCAAGGCATACTCACACACATTAAGGTGCTTGTTACATTTTAACAATCGCTGTGGGATCATTTTGGAATTTACATGCTTGGGTTTTTTTTAAACTTGTAATTTTTGCTTCATACAATCTTATGATGCTTTGAATTAAATGAAAGCATGATGCTCTAGCAGAGGTGGTCTACTTAGAGGAGCTTCTGTCCTGAGTCCAATTTCTGGTGCCAGAAGGCTGGGTTGGGAAATTATAACCATTGAACTGGTGAAATCTTTAGTTGTAACTTACTATTAGGTGATGCAATTTCTTTACTGATGGTGATTTGTCTGTTGTTCATGGAGGGTGAAAATGGAGAATTTCTAATCTGGAAAATAAATTGATATTTTTTCCCTTCCTGAGAAACTTGGAGGAATTGGCTAATACTATCAGGCAGTTGATTAGGACTATCAGGCATTTTCCTGCAAGTTATGGAAGGAATTAGAAAAAAACAGTACCATTTGGCAAAGGCTTAGAATGATTTTGAACCCTAAAAGAGCGAATGAATTAACATAAATAATTTTGTTTGTTTTTCCTAGAATTATAACTATATATTTCATATTTATTATCTAACCCTCCCACACAGACATCTCATGAAGATTAGTGGATGTTTGTGTAGGACTTTTTGAAGAGACAAAGCTTTTACATAAAAGCTAAGTATCACTACATATTTTTTTTACTGCCACTCATCTAAGTATGGTTTCACCTTTTAATTTGTTTTGCTCTTCACTTAGAGCAAATTATTGGCAGCTAAACTGAGTCTATTATCCTGAGTGTGGGTTGGGAGGAGAACACACACCGGAAAGCAATGAGAAGCATTTTTTTCAGTACCGTCAGTAAGACTGAATGGTTACTGCAGTACTTGAAGCACTTACAGTAGCTTTGAATTCCTGCTCTGACATACATGTTGAGGTTACTTAGTTTTGCTGACTTGAAACTGGCCTAAAATGTCAGGAGAACTGTCACAAAGACTGAAAGGGTTTTCTTTTTTTAAATACCTCTATGAAAAGCTGCACCTCTAGCATGCACTGCTTCAAAGCTCACATACAGTGGCATGGATGTTCCTTAAGCATGCAGCGTCTTAGCCGTGTATTAAAAAAAAAAAGAATTCTTGGTGATCCTTTCACTACCGCCCTTACTCATGGGGTTCCCAGGGGAGCTCCTGTTCTTACTCCACACTGGAGGTTTCAAGTTCCCTAGCTTTCCAAGAGACCCATTTTACAGTCTTCGTTGTTGAGAATTGCATCATAACACCCGGTGCCATCATAGCAGTACTGAAAGTCAATAAAGAGAAGCAGAACAGTGGTTGGACAGCAGCATAGATCTGGGCAACAGGAGCCACATAACTGAGGACAGCTTGAATTTCCTAGACAGTGATAACTTAGGGCATTAGAGGCAAAACCCACATGTGGGGGTTGGACTAGATGACCTCCTGAGGTCCCTTTCAACTCTGATTTTCTATGATTCTATGTGATTGAGTGTGCATGCTGTGCAGGGATGTCAAAGGCTGTATGGGGGGTGGCAGCAGCCAGGGGTTGGTACCCAGGGAGGGGGTCCTGCTGTTGGGTGCCCAGGCTGTGCTCTGTGGAGCTCCATCCACAGCAGGGCTGGAACGGCCGTTTTGAGATGGACTGATGGGTCAGGGGAGGAAGGGGTATAGATAATACATGATAGTGGAGGAATGGAGTGGCTGCAGAGTAGTCCCAGTGTTGAATTTTTTGGGGAGAAGGGCCCCATGAATGCTGAAATACATTCCCTGCTGAAACCTGCCCCTTTAATGATGCCTCAGTGTCCTCCTTGAAATCCTCTAGCTGCTGCTCTGGAGCCCCCCAGCGGTATGTGCCCAGCACTACCTCAGAGACCACAGCAGCTTCGTAGACCCTTTGTTCAAAAGAGCCGGGCTGCTGCTTGGAGCCCAGAACAGGAACGAAGCTGACTTTGCTTTGTTCCCCGTTCTCTGATCCTGGCTGTAGCTCCGTGGCAGTCCCCTGGAAGACCTCTGCTCCTTTCTGTTCTCTGACCATCATCAAGCTGCTCAGCTTGAGGCCTCTCGTCCTGAGACTGCCTGGGAATAGTTCAGCTTCCAGTGCCATGTAGAGTAGCAGTGGCCATGTAGACACTGCGATCACCCTGGAGTAGTGGCGAATGAAGACCATGTGTAACACCTGCATCTTCCATACTAACGCTGTGATTGGGAGACATTTATATAGCTCATTACCTTCCTGTTTGCTAAATGTTTGGAGGCATGTGTTAAAAAAACCTTTTCTGTTCTTTCCAGAGATGGGGCCAGATTTCTGGATTTTGGAGAATTTCACTCCTCAGTGCCTGGTGCTATGACACCCACTCCCCTACCCCTTGCTTTGCATGGTCATTTCAGAGTCTGGATCTGAGCTCTGTGACATGGGCTTCTCTCTGGTCATTTCAAGATTGATTGGGAGACTTTCTTTTCTTCCTAGAGAAGCAAGAACTGGTGTTTTGATGGTGGCTGGAAGGATGCAAACAGCAGAGGAAGAGGAGCAAGGAGACAGAGTGAGAATAAGTCTGGCTGCTCTGAAAACTGCTACCAAGAGTATGTCTATTTATTGCTTCTCTTCCAGAGAAGCAAACAATAGGCAGTTCCCTGAGTAGGGGGGGCTCAGGGCCTAGCACCAGCTGCTCCTAACGTTTATCAGTTTATCTCATGTAAAGGTAGGTACTTCGGGCTCTAACTGCAATCCAGACAATTTGGGGACAGTGCACAGCTTCCCCCCAGCTCTGGGCATGTGGGGGCAGGCTGCTAGCACTAGCCCTCTTGTTGCTAAAGATGGACTCTGTCATCGAGCTGGTTCTGGTGCACAGGCCGGTGTGTTGGGGGCTAAGCCATGTCTCTGCGGCCCTCCCTGCCTACTACACTGGTAAGAGGAGTAGCACCTTGCAGTAGCTGCTCTGCACCCCATGGACAGCTGGCAGTGAGCCTCCAAGGAGGAGTCAAGGGGTTGTTTGCTTCCTTCCTCCCCTGCTCGGGACACAGGAGACTTCTGACTAAGCGCCATGTGCGTAGTTAAACACTTGCGCTGCAAAGGTTGCTGCTTGCGCTGCTTCTCTCGCAGTCCAGGCAGAAGAGCCAGTGCAGAGCAATGGAGACCTTAATCCTTCAGGACCCTAAAGTAACTTCACAGCCCAGAAATGCTGAGAACCCTTTGACTTGGAGACCTGTCATTGAAAGGTCAGAAGGGAGACTGCATTAAGCCAACACTGAGCTCTCTTCCCAATACCTCCCTAAGGACAGCCAGGATGGCTGCAGCAGTGCTGGTAATGACTGGTCTAAGGCTGCTGTGCCTCTGTAGAGTTTAAGCCTGTTCAGGGCAGCTCCAGTAAGCAAAGCAGCTGAAAACATCTACAGCTCATCTACCCCAGGGCTCCCCTTGCTGGAGTTGTGCTAAGTCCCAGGGCAAAGCTCATCAAGGAACCCAGAAGTCCCTCTCTCTGGAGGCTGCATTTTAAGGACAACCTTATCTAAAGCTTTCCAGTTTCAATTGCTGCTGACCGGTCTGGAGTTGCTTTAGGCTGTTGGCATCCTGGAAGAGAAGAATCCATCTCTGCTGCTTTGGTGCAGCCAGTTTCAGCTCCTGAAGGAGGTGAGCTCGGCAGCTGGGGCAAGCTCGAGACGTGTCCTGAACACAGAGGGCCAGCAACATGTGATCCACCAGCTGGAATTCCTG